CACAAAAAACAATACAGTTCATCTATTGCATGGCCATCAAATTGCATGCTGACATTGTTTTTATTTCTTTTTAGTCATTACGGCTATGCACAGTTGATTTCAGCTAATGATGTGTTAGTAGAAACACAACTGTCTAAAAATAGGTTTATGCTAATCTAAAAGAAAAACAGTTCTGATAAAAATCAAAAGTAATTGTAGATAGTATTTTGGCAGTGAGAATGGCAGTCATTTTTTTCGGTGTCAGTGTTTTTCAGCCGCTGATTGGAAGAGCAGGCCATGCTTTATTTGCAGTGGATGGAGTATCATGATGTGTAGAATCCTGTATTGGTAGCTGTACATTGTTGTACACCTTCTGAACTGCCAACGATCGTTGTAGTTTTTCATCAGTCAAATCCAGTATCTCTTCTTTTGGCATCAGCTTTGCTAAAAGACCACAGCACTTTTTTTTATCCTTTTCAATCTGGTCATCTTGTGGTGGTTTTTCTTTGCGTCTGGTCAGCCCTATTTGCGTCTTTTTCTTTTCTGACCATAAATTTATATGACGATGATCATCACTCAGGTAGCGCTTCTCATTATAGCCTTTATCATTCTCATGGTGATGACTGTCACCTAGGTAACGCCGCCTCTCACCATTATCTTCATGAGATGGTTGACTTGGTTTCGATTGACATTGGATAGTTACCATGGCAATTATGGCAATCAGTCTCATGACATTGATCTTGGTCATGACTCTGAAAAAAAAAGACAGCATCAGAACTTGATTATACCTGTTTGTGTATGCTTGCTTACACTGTTCGTGTACATGTATGTTATGCTTCTGTGCAAAATCTCATGGTTTACCATGAATAATATCGCAGTTTTCAATACTCTATTTTGAAATCCTGATATGATCTATGCCGAGTGAAGTTTAATTGCTTAACGATAAATATAACAGTTCGTACTTGTTGATTACTATTTACCACGGAGATAAACAGCTTTTTATTGGTGCAAATAATGGTATCTACTGATATATATAAGAGATCATAAAAGTTGTAGTAGTGAGATTTCCAAGTTACTATTTAACTATTATCTGTCAATGGATGGTGTTTTACTACTCAGGAATATGCACTTGGGTCAAATACACGTACAATTTCTAACTCAAATTATCATATTAGTCTGAGAAATGTACAGAATCACTTCACTATAGGATATCAATATAATCAAAATTTGTTGTTGTTGTTGTTGTCTCTCCTGACTTTTTTTTGTATGTGCAAGTTGCAAGTGCTGACATATAGTGTGTTTTTGCCACAGAAGTCATATTCATGTTTTGGGACTACATGACAGGGCTGTGCGGCCATTAAACTCTCTATCAAATGGCAATTTAATGCGCTATCCTGGCGTCAGCAAGGTCTGGTCGAACACAAGCACCTACGAACCTTAACCAAAGTTCCCCAAAGTCGCATTCATTAGTGAATGAATCTCGGCCAGTGGAATTGGCCTTCCCATTGAGTCTGTGGCACACTCACCCAGGGTAGGAGTCGACCCTTTTGATGTTCAGCCTAAGGTTGGATTTGAACTTGGGTCTATTAATCATGAGTCTGATACGACAACCACTATGCTACCAGAGATCAATCATTAGCTTATTCTGTTGTGTGCAGTTGTGACAAGGTATAACTTAAAATAGTTGTATACTTGTCATGTGAAGTACAGCAAAAATGGAATGCATTGTCAGCTGTACTTCAAAACTGAAAATCTTCAAAGGAATAAATTACTCGCCTGTGTTTGTTGCTGCTCTTTATAACTTTTTAAAACTCTGTCAATAACTTGTCGTGATGAGGTGTGTTTATGAGTGTTTGGCTGTGTATGATGGTTTGTTAGAAATTATCTCTAGTAGTTCATCATCATTTAGGTCACATGGGCCACTCTAAAATTATGCATTGTTTCACAAGATAAGAGTATGTGACCAAAAAGATATTGAATGAAAATTCTAGTCCATTTAAATACCGATAATATTTATAACTATATTTTGGGGGCTGAGTTAAAAATAACAATAATGGCATTGAATATATCGTTAGTAAATAATTAGTATTTTAACAAAGTTTCAAACATTCTGAACAAGTTTTAAAAATTATCTGATGAAACATCATCACTTGGAAAACAAATCTAGTAAACTAAATATCTCATCTATGTTGCCATGAATTCTTGATGTATGTTGTAATAGATTGTTATCAGACCACACCTAAAGGGTATCTGTTGGTATACGTGGCTTCTTCAACTCATGCTGAAAACTATTTGTAATTCAACATATTCAATTACATGATTTCATACCTTCTACCACTGTACTGGTAATTGTAATAACACAGTTGCACTAAATTTGTGATTTATTTTAGGCTTTCCGCCAATTGGGAATTTTTCGTGTCTGTGTCGATTTATTTTAGTTGGTGAAAAATGTCATCCTTTTTTATACAGGGGGGTAACCAATATTTTCAGTTTATTATATGTTGTTATTACACCAAATTAGAAATGTATTATCTTATGGCTAAATTTGAGCAGGTTTTCAAGAACTGGTTTTTAAAATGAAAAGAACTCTATCAGAATGAATATATATCTACACACGTGGAGGGTTATTTATCACCCAGTACCATATTGACAAAGGATGTATATGTACATCAAAGGGTTATCACTGAAGTGAAGTTGATTCAGGTTTTGCAGCACTTTGAGGATAAAAAATTCTTTGCTGTTTTATATTCACACTTGACGCTTTACCACAATAGAAGAGTGACCAAATATACAAAAATTGCACACCATGGTCACAACACGGCGCATGTTTGAATTTTTATGTAAATTTAACAAATAATGTATTTACTATCGTTCACAAAACCCAGATCAGAAAAAAGTATTGTATGTGACATTCTATCAAATAAAAAGTAGGTAACCATATATCAAATGTATATAGATATATTTATGCCAAAACCATAACTATTTTGTGTCAGACTGGTTCAAAAGTTCAACTCTGGAAAAACACTTGTTTAAAATCAAGGCAGGTGACTCAATTCTGTTTTTGACGTATTTAAATAAATGTTTATACAATAGATTCCAATTTCTACTTTATTGTTGCTGCCAACTCTTAACTCGTAACATGATTTTAGTCATCAGGGTAAAGCAGAAAGCCGTTAAAATTAGTATACCCAACATTACTACCAAAGAGACACCCAGAGCTATTAATTAGTGTTAAAACAGTATCGCCTTTATCTAAGTGGATAACTGTTGTTGCACTTGCACTCGCGAAGTTTCCTTCGTTCCCATAAGCGTATGCTGAACTTTCAGATACAGTATTCTTAGAGATAGATACAGTTGTACTATCACACACTCTGCTTTTAAGTATGTTCAGATTAAACACGTAAATTCCACTGTGTTCACAGACGAATTCACCGGTTTCGTTGTTGTAGTTATTGCCGATGTTTAGGTAGACATAGTCGTAGAGTATAGGTAAGCTTTTTCTAGGTTCTGCTTGTCGGTGGCTGAATAATCCAACGTTAAATGCTGATTGTTTCTGGATTGGTGCGGAGTATTTTGAACACTGGCTGTCGCATGTTCCTTTCTCGGCACGTACCGTAAATGTCATCAATGCGGCTGTGACCAAAACGGCAAGGATTATACCGTATATAAGAGTACAGGTATATGATTGGATCACAGTGCGAGTTGCTGTAAATAAAGTATAAGGAAATATTACTAGTAGTTCTATACATGAAACACCATTCCATTCAATGCAGGGTAAATTTAGATTAACTGAAGGGAAAATAAATGATATAATTTTTAACTCTGCTGTTGACTATTACTGATTCATTGCCCAGCATTTGTCAGTGTCAACTTTAAATTTTCGACTTTTTCTTGAAAACAATAAAGTTAACAGATCTTATTTTACATTTCAAAGTAGGTACGTGTATTACGGAATAATTAGTTGTTTTTTTTTAATCTGTAAACCATGACACATTCCAGAGTAAAAATCATAAAATCCAAAAAAATTATTTCATTATTATTCAAATGAAGCACAGGATCTTTTCAATGTCCATGGCAGAGAAATATAAAACATAAGATTTCAGACTTTCTAAACTTGCTCCCTTTGTTTTAATGGTGCATTTCCACTGATTGGTTCATCTTCCAATGCACCTTTAATTGTATATGATTGGGACCACTCACAAAGTTTCTTTCATCACACTGAGATACATGGCCATCATTGATTGGTTGGTGACTATGATCAGAGTCTGACCAATCAGAAAGTGTCTTTCAAGCCAAAAAAATGCAGACAGTATGTATTGCTATTACTCATTGGTTGGTCACCTACTGTGTATTTCTTACCTGGTTTAGCATTAACCTCGGTACTTGTTTTCACGTCTGCGTTTTCAGATTTCTTCTGCTTTCTTTTTGCCATGGTATTATATTTTCAAATTTTAACTTTTTCTTGCTGCAATGCTGAAGTACATTACCACTATTAATCAAAGTGTGGAAAGCTATTTATCTGGTTATCACTGGTTATCACTGGTTTAGTTGAGTTGTAGAAATTATTGATATGACTGATAAAAGTTATTCCACAAAACAAAACAAAAAATGCACTTGTTGTGAACAAATATCCAGTCTATTCTGGATATTCTGAAAACTTTTGACGCCTCAACAGAAAAATCAGTTGACTACAACGATAAATAAATTGTCCAACTAATTGGCTGTGTGTGCTCCTTGATAAATAATAGTAATATAAACTTGTAATTTGGGTTTTTCTGGTCATTGGTGCAACATTATCATAATACCGAGACTTGGATTGATGTATTATACATTACAGACTTTTGCTGAGAATAAAATAGAAAGAAACAGAATTTATTGTATTCTAAAAATCTAAAAATTTGCCATTGATGATTAGCAAAGGCGTAGAGGAAGCATTAACCCTTATCTGGTCAAGACAACGTAAAAGTTTTGGGTTGCCAGCTGTAGGATATGGATTAAAATCTAAAACCCAAACCCTGTCTTTAAACCTTACATCTTTTCCAAACCCCATCCCCGTGGATTGAATGCCAAAAATCACAATGTTTCAGTAACACTGATGTTTAGTTCATACCGTGAGTTACAATTAGAATATTGCATCCACTGTCTCATACATAGAGTATTCTGTTTAATATTGAGTGGTTCAGTTGGCAGAATGTTGGTTTATTTATTCCATGGGGGCTACTTGTTGTTAAAATAGTTGTGAACACAAGGACGAAAAAAAACTTTTCGGGGTGAATATTTTAATGCGTTACATAATTCATACATTTTTATGTATAAATTACTGTATTTTCTCTGACAAGTTGCTGTAGGTAAAATCAAAAACATCATTTTAGACTGGAGTCTTCTCATGGTTTTTTTGAAAAAATTTAACAACTTGTGCATTTTCTACTGTTATAAGTATATTCCTAGTTGCTGGGAAAGGATTGACCAGCTTTGTTGTTAGTCCAAGAAAATTGTTCAGCTTGGAATGTGTCTGAATCCCTCATTAGTATGCAAGAATGTAGAAATGTACCAAGAAAAATGTTTTTCTGGAGTAAATTGTAGTGTATTGTACTTATGAAAGGTCAAAAAGTGCATGGAGATTTTATGAAAATGTGTGGATGTTAACAGAATGGTGTCATGTGTCACAGTTACGTAATAAATGATGGACTATTTTGGGTGTAGCTATAAAATGTGTCACCGAAGTACTCACACGTGTGCATGATTCCAATAGTTTGTGCTGTGAAGAAACTCCATTAGAAAATAAGTATTGTGTAATTTGTAGTGAGAATGTATTTAAATAGATTTATGTTTATAAATCTTGTTTCTTTTCAAAGTGTAATTATATAATTAAAAATTGTTTATAAAAATGATCTTTATACTTTTTTTATTTATAGCATTATATCCTGCTCTTTTCTACATTCAAAAGAGATGTTACAAACTGTACTTTGAGGTGGTGAAATTAAAATCCATTATCAAGGTTGACTATACCCAACTTGTGTGCCCCCTCCTAAAAAAATAGAAAAAAAAAAAAATATTAATTTGTACTTACTACGCCTGTAATTTGTATCCTGTTTTGATCATTAAAGTTTTCTGCACGTTTACAGTGAAGTGTTTCTGCTCGAAATGACCATGTGCTATGGAGTTGTGAGAATTGAAAATTACACGTTGTTGATAAACAGATGTAACTGACAGATTATTTATTTATTTCAAATATCCATTTCGATAAGATTACTCGGTAAATGATAAACAATTTAACTTAAGGCTGTAGTATTATATCATACGAATATGTCAATTTCCACATCTTCTCTTTTTATTTCTCACAAAAAGTTTGATAATAATGATACAAAACATATCAGAATTTATTTTGCAAGAAATAGCGAAAAAAAAATTCTGTTGTTTGTAACAACAATTCACTTCAAAGAACAAATTTAAATAATTTGAAACAAAAGTGAAATAAAGTTGGTAAAACTGTTTAATATTGGTAATAGTTATATATTATTTCTTTGACTCGCATAACTTCTTCTACCTTAATTTTAGTTTGTATTTTTCTACAGTTATTATTCATTAGTTAATTTTACAACAAATGATCATAATTTCCTATAAATAATACCTCCATAGTAATTTTTGAAAAAAATAATGAAAAAAATATCCAGGTTCATTATAAAAAAGGTTGAATTAATATTGAAAAGGCTCAAAGTTAATGATGATACTTTTTTGGTTGGAATTCAACATTAAACCCACATCACATTATTTTACCACTAAAGTCTGCTAAAGTTGCAGTTTAAAATATTTATCAATATATCGTTTTCTGATTCCAATGAAATTAATGTATGTGTTAAGAAAAATAATGACTTGTGAGGAAGATGATTGTTGAACTGTTCCTCTTCACTTGCCTCAGTTCTTTCATTTTACTCTCAGCATTTGAAGGGGTCACTCGGATTGTAGACTTAGACAACAGTGGCATGCTGATCAAGATATGGTGTACACATATTTACCAATTGTGTGTTTGTTTGCTGTATAGCTTAACTTATTTTTTTCCAAAATTATGTGATGTCTCGCTTGCACACATGCAAATTTTCTCAATGAAATTTGGCACTCTGAAAAAATATTTTATTTTATTTTGTTTTGTTTTGTTTTGTTTTGTTTTGTTTTGTTTTGTTTTGTTTTGTTTTGTTTTATTTTATTTTATTTTATTTTATTTTATTTTATTTTATTTTATTTTATTTTATTTTATTTTATTTCATTTTATTTCATTTTATTTTATTTTATTTTAAAATACACTTGATTCAAGGTGTCTTAGAAAATAAAAAAACATTTCTCAGTGACAAATTTACTGACAGGAAACACGTTTTGGTTAACAAACGATCCTGAGTCTCCATAATGGAGAACCACGATGACTGATATAAAAAATTTGGTATTTTTATTTCATTCGGAGTGCATACAGGAGACCTGGAGATCACATTCAACCAATAAGATGTGGCAAAATTATAACAAGAGACAAAAACTGGACTGTAGTAAATTAATTCTGGTCTAGTACTGGATAAATGGTTTACAAGACCTTTACAGAGAAACTTGCAGGCAATATGTTATTTTTTTAGTGCCAAAGTCATTTTTTATCATTTTTCGCAAAATGAGCTTGCATCAGTTTTTTTAAATATTTTTTTCAATGATTTTGATCCTGATCCGTAGCCAACAGGAAATCTTGTCTGTTTAGTCCAAAATTAACTAGGAATGTGAAGAAGTAATAATTGAAAAAACAAAGGCATTTTCTTCGCCTTTATAAATACATGTATATAATTCACTCCAATTCCTAGCTGTATTGATCAGAAGTGAAATTAATTCTGTGTTCCTCTTCAGAAATTTGGATTTATTGATTTGTAGGTTGCAGTTACTGTATGCTCTGCTAAGCCAACACCCAACTGGGCTGCCTTCTGAAGAGATACAACCATTTCTTATCACTTTACATCAACTTCTTACTGAAACAAAAAGGTAATTTTATGAATATTAATCACCTAATTTGCATACTTCTTACAGTTGCCACTAATTCAATTTAAATAACTCGTATGCTGCACGATGAATTCCAAAACTGCGTTGTTTCAATCAATAATTTTGACAAATGACAATATTGCGATTGCTGGTTGTGAACCAAACGCCATTTGGGTCAAGTCATTTATATAGCAAATAGTAATTCCTCTCAATAAACTAAAATAAGTGTAAATTACTCATTAATTATCACAATGTAAACTACAGTCGCTTCAATTTTGTGGGAGACAATTTCGCGTGGTTCAGCTATGAATTTATTATAAGTTTTTCGATTCTTAAAGTTGTATTGTCGGCAAAGTTTAGTGTGAAGTGTATCAAACATTACGAATATTAGATTAGTTGTGTTACGGTAATTTGAACAACAATATGTGATAGGATTTATTGTAGTGAAGGTGAATAATAATTTACTTGATAAACGATGCAATGAGATGGTTTTGCAGTGTTCTCCCCAGAAAAATTGCATACAGTATTGGTCAATTTGCATAACAACATAATATGTTAATGAATCTAAGTTTGCTGGCATTACTTTTTCAAGGAGTATTGTGTTGACAACAGATTTCAATTGCTGCTCGAGTGTGTCACCCTGCTCGTTATCGTGAGAAAAAACAAATCTCACGAAAGTTAGATACTTGATTGACCTCATTTCAAAACTTAATTATATTTATTTCTTTTCAGAAACAATACAACTGGCTGGCTTCTGGACTGCCTCAGTGCTCTTGCTTATTGTCAGAGTAACAAAATCCAAACTTTGTTTATAACAGAGTCATGTCACCCTCTATGGATGAAAGTATGGAGTAGTACACTCAGGTATGGAGTTTGAAAGTATATAAAAAAAAACCCCACAACAACGGGTTTGTTGTGGGTTTGTTGTGTTTTTGTTGTGGGTTTGTTGTGGTTTTGTTGTGGTTTTGTTGTGGGTTTGTTGTGGGTTT